ATTAAGATTTTAACTAAAACTCGCCAGGTACTTCACCAATAACATTGATATTTTCATTTTAAAGTCTCATTCAGTATTCACAATACTGCCAATATCACAGACACAGAGGCATAACAGATATTCCATAAAGGAAGTAGCTGCGGCAGTTTAAGAAATCACTGATTACATGATCCAACCTCATCCCTGCCTGAAGTTACTGAGTTTACTGGTACCAGCAGTGCAAGAAATGCTTTTCTAACTGCTACTTTATACCAAATCAATTATCATCAGGATAATGTGGGGGGGAAAAACCAAACTAAACCAAAAAGAAACACAGAGTTGCTATTGATTTTTATTAAAAAAAAAAAGTAATTGTGGTACTGCTAACAACACACATAGTATGACAAAACAACAATTAAATACAGGTTGAGCTTTACCAATCAGTTTTTAGCAGTTCCATTAATAAAAATATTTAGTGACAATTCTCACACTTTTCTACAGAATGTCATATCTTCTTTAAAATTTTAATTACTGCTTGTGGCAGTGTTTTAGTTCTCTATTGTCTTTTTTTAAATAAAGTCAAACAACAACTTGATCAAGATGTTTTACAATTTTCAAATCTTTGTTCAAAGGTGAGACTGTAGTTCCCATTGTTACCATTTTGGTAACACAGCATTCAAACTGTTGGCATTTACAGAACTCCTGCTTAAATAATTTTAAAATAAATTTGAGGACAGGTAAGAGGTAAGCAACACTGACTGCTTGAATACTTCTTCCAGCAAGAAACCAAAAGAAGTCTTCTTTAATAATCATTATTTGTGTCTGTTTCATTTTTTTTGTGAAGAAAGTGCTGATGAAAGAATCACAAAATTTGTCCCATCTGTGATCTAGCCTCAAAAATTATGGATAAAATCATTTACGTAACTCAGACAAAATGGAGTAAAACCAGGGAACATGTTGAACACATCTGTTTTGTAGCTGACTCTGCAATTCTTCCAGTAAAGCATGCCTAGAGGATAAAAATTCCTTCTACTATGTCATTGGACCATATGACATCTCAAAATGGCAAAAGGCTTGTTCAGGTACAGTTTACACTGACAGAAGGTATCACAGCAATGCAATTTACCTCAAAGATAGCACATGTGTAACACCAACCAATAAAGACACATTTTTGCCAATAGAAGCTGCATCTAACCCTAAGAGAACTTGCTCTCAATCAAGTTCCCTGTTGTAGAGCAGGCTTATGTTCAAAAGCCACAGGGATTGTATGTGCTGGAAAACAGATACGGAAGAGCAATGATTGCATATTCTCCTGTAGAATAACTTACTGAAACGTGATTCTACTAAGTCTAGAAATGCTTAATAGAAGAAAATTAACCTGAAATGAAGACTGAATTTGAACGATAACTTCCATTTGTATATATGAAGAAAGAGATGCCTGATTCAACAAATGCTAATAGGAGCTCCTTGTTAGCAAATGCAGGAGCCAAGGACCTGATGTTGTTGGCAGGGAAAAGATCCCCAACAACAAAACAAAACCAAACCCCAACCATACCTGTATGCACACACCCTAGAATGACATTTTAACAAGTCTGTCACGTTACTTCTGCTGCAACTTACAGAGTAAGTTAATTACTTGGTTGCTCAAAGACTTTGTTTGGAGAACTTGGAAAAAGACACAGACAAATCACATAGAGCCCAGTGAGAGCGAGCAACAAAAATGCTGTTTGCACAGTTTAGTAAAGAGAAGTCTGAAATAAAAGGAGACAGAGGAACAGTCTTCATGTATGCAAACAGTTGGTGAAAAGAGCACAGAACTCATTATCCCACATGAGTAATAAGAGTTGGATGAGAATTAACTGGCTTAACTAGCACCAAGACAGAGACTCAAGTTAAATGTTAAGAAAAGCCTGCAAACGATAGTAACAGTCATGTACTAGCTATAAATAGATCAGTGAAGAGGTGTGGTATTCCCCTCTTCTGAGTTTTTTAAGAAAAGATCAGACAAATGTCTGCCAGACATGATTGCAGCATATTTGTTTCTGCCTCGAGTAGGGGCTGACCTCATGAAATCCCTTCCCTTCTTACATATCCATCACTTATTTCTTCATCCAAATGAGAACTGTTCATCAGTGTTATCATACTTGAACTTCAAAAGTACAGCATAAATATCTGAAGCATATGAATTTTATTACACTGCTCTTATCAGATGTGCACTTTGTGGCAGTTTGTGCACTTAGCACAAAACATCTCAGGAAAACAAAAGCAGCATCTTTTACTGCTGCAGATAATCCACAGAAATGGGCAAATGATGAGTGGAAATAGAGAAGGAGAAGCAAGCAAGTGAGAATGACACAGTGAAGGATCTGAATTTTAAAAATGGCTGAAAACAAAATTACAGCAAAGAAAAAACACTTCAGGCTGAAGAAAGTTATTTTCCTCTCATGTGAAAAAGCAAGTTACACTTTGCTGGTATATTTTCAAAAATATGCAATAATTTGAGATATAGAAGTAAACATTAGTAAGAGTTCACAAATGGACAGGAAAAAGACACGTCTACAGGCCTCCCTGCATTACCAATTCCTGACTCTCAGTTTTTAAAGGACAATGCACATCCTTCTGCTTTGGCCAACTTCAAGTAACCTCATTAAACTGGGCCCTAAACTATGCCATATGTGTATTTGTGGGTTAAACTGTCTCTACAGCGGTGGTTCCCAGGGAAATCCCTGGAATATCCAAATACAGAATTCCATCTTTCCTTTTTTTATTGTTACCAAACCTTCCACAGCTTCTAAAAAATTACTCTGAAGGTGAATACATTAAAAGCATCCCAGAAAAACCTAGCATGTTTAGCCTAAGAAATTGGGTTAACATAGAGCCATAAATTGCATTTGTCATATCAAGATCTCATGCCAAGATCCAGAAGTGAGAAGTGAATCACAGCTAACACGCTGCATTCTGAACATGTTCCCACTGCCCAATTACATGTTTCCAATGTTATTCTGCAAGCTATGTGCAATTATAGCATGCATGATCTATTTTGACCTATTCCTTAGCACTACAAAATGCCAGAATACTAAAATAGCAAATGCAGTATTTATTCTTTTAAAAAAAGATTTTTCTTCCCTCCCACAGAAAAACTGATGCCTAATAAAATTCACAGATTTTTAAAATTTTTTTTCTTAATGTAATACTGTGTCAGCTCCACTTAAGTTTTAAAAGCTTACATTTAGAAATTAAACTTGCAGGTCGACAAACTTAATGGTTAATTAGATAAACCTAGGTGGAGTCACTACTCCATATACATATTTACATATGAAAATGAGACATTTTCTGCAAACGTATTTGAGATCTATTTAACTGCATAAATCAGTCACATTTTCACCATTCATTTATTTTTCTCCAAATAGTAGTCTAAACAGAAAATAATGTTAACAGCAAATATCTAAAAAGATATTACTAGAAAATACATTCATTACTCCAAACTAAATGTGTACCTCTCCATAGGTCAGAACACCTGTAGTTGTGTGTTTGTGGAAGAGGGGGAGTAAATGAAGAAAATCAATCCATTATCATTCTCAGGTTGCATTTTATAAGAAAACATTATTTTTAGTTCACAGAATGCCCAGGTAGAGAGCCACTGAACAACCTGTCACAAAAATAAATTACATGTAACTCACTACTTTTGACTTAGTTTGCTGATGTAAAAAGTCAGCCTGAAGTAAAGATAAAAGACAAAAAAATAAAACTTCAGGTTGCTAAAATATGCAAAGCTTTTTTCAAGTCATTCTCCATAAATACTTATTATTAATGATAGGGTTTTAAAAAATAAAAATTCTGATTTGTACTTAACTATGAACACTTTATTTTAGAAAACAGTAAGGAAAAATGTGAAGTAAAAATGACAAATGTGGCCTAAATTTACAGCATGATCACCTTGTTTGCTTTCTTCAGAAGAAAACTTTATAATAAAACAATCTCTTCTGCATTTATCCTCAACAGGCTTCAAATTCCACAAGCCTGTGCACTGACTAGCTTTCTAAACAACCACAGCAAAGAACTACTGACAAGTCGATGACCAAAATTGAAAGGTTATTTATTTTGACCATAAATTAGCTACTTTTATCAATGTAAAGCAAAAAAACCAAAAAGCTTCCCTACCACAATATTAAACAACAAGATAATGCTCGTTTCACCATACTAATAAATTCTACCTGTCACAGCTCTCTGCCTACTCACATATACTATAAAAACTCACAAGATTACCAAACACCACAGCTATCTTAAAAAGTTTCCTCTGACAGTTTAGAAATCTCAGCAAGCCAAGGCAAGCAACTCAGAAACATCTGTTTTCTTTGCCATAGTCTTCCATTAGTGACAGGTAAACCACCTGTTTAAACACTGACACAGAGTTCATCAAGGCAAACTCTACACAGATTTTTCTTTTCTCCAGTAATGATTCAATCTGATAAATGTTATCTTCCTATTCTGTTTTATCAAAATACAATAAAACCTTAAGAAAATCAAGTTAATTATATACAGCCTCACTATCTGAATCAATATCTGAATCAAATTTGGGTTCAATACGTTTCAGCGGCAATCATGATGGAACAGAAAGCATAAAGAAAACAGGAATTACAGCAAGTTCTCATTTTAAAATAGATTTCTGAGGAAAGCAGTTAATTACCAGGCCACTGTAAGCAAGGGCATATATGAAAGCAGGAAAAAATAACAACCAAGAAAATTCTTTTAAGGTTTTTCAGTGTGGCATAAATACTAACTCATCAATGCCCCTTCCCTTAAAAATATCCATAGGGAATCCCATAGGAAAAGAATGTTTTGTAGGGTATTCTGCTAGTAAGTGCTATGCCACGAGAGAACGCAAGACAAGCTTGTACACATTCATTCTGCACACACATCTTTGCCATACACACAGCAAGACAATTCTGAAGGCCTCTAACTCTGCAACGTGCTGCATTGTTTAAAGAAGAGAAATGTTGTAGTTGAGAGACATTTTCTGCATGGACCAGAAATTTCCCTTATTTCAAGGTAGGCTTCTATTATCTTTCACCACCCTCTTAGAGGACACTCCATGACAAAACTAAAACCAGATTTATGAAGCAAGAGAGGAAACCGGGGGAAAAAAACCCCAACCTCGTGGGTGCTGCAATGCTCTTCAAATGCAACAGGGGAATAAATAATCCAACATTCACTTTTTCCCCTGACAAAAATATCTCGCAGTATCTGACCTACATACCCAATTCACAGCACCGCTACCACTGCAGAGCAATGTGAAGACGAGAGCCCACAGCATCACCGTGCGATCGCGGCGAGGTTTACGGGGGACACAGAAATATTCGCAAAGCTCGTAAAATACTTAAGGTTTTGCAGCTGCAATTTAAGCAACGAAGATCAGCGAGCGTGTGCCCAGCTCCTCAAACAACTGCACCGCCGCGCAGCTCCACCTGCATCGGGCCGGGGCCGTGCCCCCCAGCCCGGGCACCTCCGGCAGCCGGGCCGCCCCAACGGCCCCCGGGGGCGCCCGGACAGACCCGCCCCCGGCGCTCCCGCACCCGGGCCGCCCGCCGCACCCACCGACCTGCTGTGACGGCGGAGGCCGGGCGGCCGCCGGGGACCCCCCAGCGCTTGCCCGGGCGGCGGCATGGGCGCAGCCCCGGCTGCGGCGGGACGGCGCGGAGGGACGGCGCAGGATTCCGGAGCGGAGCCCACCCCCGGGGGCGGGCGGGAAAGTGGCCGGGGCCTGCCCGCGCGCGGGCACGGCGGGGACGGGTGAACAGGCGGGCGCCGAGACCGCTGCGGCGGAGCGGGCGGCGGCGGGGCGGCGGGAGCGGGGCCGGTGGCGCTGCGCGCCGCGGCCGGTCCGGTCCGGGTGGCGTCCCGTCGGGCGCGAGGGGCGCCGACGCCGCTGCCGCCCGCGAGCTCCGCCCCGGCGCGCGCCGCGGCCCCGTGACAGGCAGGAGCGCCGAGGCGTCACCGCGCGGCGCCGTCCACGGCGAAGGGGCGGGCGCGCCCAGCGGGCTGCGGTCAAGGCGCGTGCGCGCCGGGCCCCCATAGAGCCGCGGGTTCGAGTCCCGCCCGGGGCCGGACCCTCCGCGGCACTCACGGGCCGAGGGCAGCGGGGCCCTCCGACTCCTGCCGCCGGTTCCAGCCAGGCGAGTCCAGTCTAAGGAAGGCCCAGCCTAGTGCAGTCCCGCGGCTGCGGGATCTGTGCCGTTCAAGGGCAGGATATGAAGGCGCACCCCCGCACCACCATGGCCAGCGCTAACTGCAAGAAATCCCTCGCCCCGGCCAGGCCCGGAGCGGCAGCTGCCTCAGCCCCCGGTGACGCTCTTTAGGACAATTCAGAACGGCGCTGCCGCCTTCAGGTTGCCCATTTCTCCCAGGACTAGCTGAGCCCTCTCTGCAGGAGCCACCCGCTTCCCTCAGGAAGTCAACACACGCAAGGAAGAAGGATGCTATCCCAAATTAATCAGCGAGGAAGCACTCCCTGATACGTAGCAGGACAGCTATTACTGCAACACTTGAAGTCTAAGTCGCCGATGACTGTAAATAATACCATGGCACTGTAATTACTTTTATGCAAGCTTAACAATAACCTTACAGGCATGAACCATGTGTGCGAGATGCACGAATGACCTGTGCGTGTTTAGCAAACGCCCTTCTGAGACACCCTGGCAGGCGATGCGCGTTCGGAGAGCGCTGTACCGAGGCACAGCGACCTGCGATCTGTGCTGCGGCACCTGACTCCAGAGTACAGTAATCCCCGCTGAGGTGCTGCTCACATGCTGCTTTCTGGTCATGTGCTCAGAGGTATTTAACATGTAAGACAATTAGAGGTTTGTAAAGCCTGGACAAGCCCTCAAAACCTACCCAAAACAAGGTTATTTTGATCACCCTAAACAAACACGGGGAAAAAATACCTGAAAGGAAGTTTAAGCTTTACATGTCAATTTCCATTGAAATTGACATATGAAACTAAAACATTGCACCGGAAGGTCCGTAGCTCGAGTATTTCGCGATCTTCCACTGAAACAGGCTGCAGAGAATGATGAAAACAAATGCTAGCATTGTTTTAAAAATCCATTGAAGAGGACGGTGCTAAAGAAAGACCAACTGATGAAGCACATTCAAGAAAGGCACAAGGCACTGAATCACACTGATTCCAGAGCCAACATGAAGGAGATATAGTCATCTCCCAAAGCTAAGACATTTTGTTCCACAGTTGGCAAAATTGTCAGCGGTGTTCATGAGACACTTGTCATGACCATGAGTCTTTAACCAGACAGTTAAACAGGTAACCTTTTCTGCCAAATGATAGGGCCAAGAAATAAATAGAGCCAAGAAAACTGCTGATGTGTGATGCTCCTGCACCATCAAGATCAACGAGCCACAGCTGCTTACACAGCTCTGAAAACACATCCAGTGTTTCCCTTGCCTTAATGTTACAGTTCATGGCCATTTGTCAGCTTTAGCATCCTGCAAATGGATTTCACTAATGGAGGAAGGGTTAGTGAACAGTACATTTTCAAGACAAAGTTCCCTCACTTCAGAAGAAGCCAGAAAAGGTTGTGGAAAATCATCCCACATTCCTCTGCCCCTGTGGTCCTTTGTATATCTGCACAAAGCCTGCGCAGCACAGAGCACTCTCACATCCCAACAGTTCTTTGCAGAGGCATCAGTACTAAAGTACCATAATCCCTAAATCACAGCATCTTCAATATAAGGAACAGGATAAACAGCTAAATATTGACTTTGAGATAAAAAAAATATCTATTGACACCAGGGACCAGCACTTATGACACTGGCTCACAGTGAGCTCAGCCCAAACCCAGGGGCATGTTTATGGGATCAGGTGTCATGCTACAGGAGTAAAATAAAGCTTATAGAAACAGTGTAATTGCTGATATGGAAAATAACAGTATAAAAATAGCTGACAGGAGATACAATAAAGTATATTGGTTATTTATGCATTCAGTACAAACCCTGTACAGGCTACAGAAGCTGGGAGGTGTGGGGGTGGAAATTATAGGGTAAGCACATCTTAGGATAGTGTACTCAGGCAATTGACTGAAATCTGGTAGAATGGCTCTCCCTGAATTCCAGAATCAATACCTCATTGCAAAAAGAGGTTCTCACCTCCTACATATATTGCTTGAGGCTAACCAGCCCCTGTATTAGTAACACTACAGCCATAGCTTCTAAACTTCAAATGGGAACAAACCAGCCCCTTTTCATAGCCATGCCATCCTCCTCCTTTTTCTCCACAAGTTTCTCTTCCTCCCCACTACTCATTCCTATAGCTGGCATCATATTACCACATTTTGAACTACATCCAGAAAAGGACCTAGTTACACTAGAGATTAATTTCACATATATTTAAGCAAATGAGGGGTTAACTGGCAAAGGAACAAGCTGCTGGAGACAGAGCAGATAAGGGAAGACAAAATGGCTTCTTCTGGGAACAAAAGTAGTGCAAAGTTTGTGATGCCAGAATGTTATAACATGATCCAGGAGGAGAGCCAACAGTATTTATAAATTTAAATCCAGCTCACACGGACTGAGCAAACAGCCGCATTATTTCAAACCTTTGCTAGTCATGTCTGCTACGCTCCTCTGCCTTTCCATGACAGAAAGAAACATGTGCCTGCATCTCAGTAGTTCCAGTTCCTCCCAATACAATGCAACATCACTGGAACACTGATGCCAAGAGAGGAAGAGCAAATAGCTTGGGGGGACAGCCCTAAACCACTGCTGGGAAATTCATAAAAATATACTGCACACTCTAAGTGAGCCTGGGCAGCAGTACTGATAGGTTTGTCTGCTCCAACTCCATCACTGAAGTTGATGAAGCAATTAATTTACCTTTAGGACTCAGCCACATTCAGTAACCCTGAACACAGACACTCTTGACCTTACTAATAAGACAATTCCCCCAATGCCTGCAGCACTCAGCCATCTAACACAGGTCTGCTACTTGAGGTGGCAAGAGGAGACTGGGAGACGCTGATGAGAAGTGTATGAAATTACAGTATCTGGCAAAGAGCATTCTTTCTTAAAGATTATATGGGATATTCTATACAACTATTCAGAAGACTAAACATAGCCATAAATGCTTGTTACAAGCAATGGTTGCCTTGTATTTTTTCATTTACATCTTAAGGCAGACAACAGACATTACTGCAGAATGCCACTGCATAGACTATATTCCCTTTAGCAAACATGACAACTGTCAATCTTTAAAGAATGAAGAGTTTTACACCACAGACTTCATTTTACACTAAGTAAACCCACAGAATAATCAAACTTCATTTTATGCTAAATAAGTACCCTGAATGAGCAAAATTCTGCTTAACACACAGAGTATCTGTAAAACATAAGGCAAGTACAGGTGACAGTTGAACTACACTGCTGTCACAAATGTAAAGTTTTATGACACATATTCAGATATAACACCAGACAGTGGAGCAAAGTAGCAGTTGATAAGCACCTATTCATCAGTCAAATGAATACCTAGTAAAGGATAGACAGAATAGGTGCAGGTTTAGCCAGAGGTAAATATTAAAGCAACCAAAAAAGAGATTTCTAACAGAATGGTAGGTGTAACTGTCATTCCAACAGTATTCTCTTTGCTAATTACAACTGCACATTGCAGCAAATGTTTAAGTTTCAGTGTTTGGTCAAGGTATTTCCTTGATTCCTCAGCCTTTTTCTTACAGTTGCTTTCACCTTCCTTGTAAAATAAATAAAAATCAAATCAAGCCCTGTTCTCTCAACTTCAGATACCCAAATCTTACACAGGTCGGGAATATTTTGCTACCACACCCATCTTTTTAACCTCTCAGTGCCCTTTGATCGAGGGCTGTTGGCATAGGAAGAGCTTTGCTGCAGCTGATACCATCTGCAGCACAAACAGCAGAAACCAAAAACATTCATGCTGCCAGCTGACACAACACTGGGTTCCTGCAAGGTGCTGCAAAACTTTTAAAATAATTTTAATCTGCATAAAAATGGACCAAAGAGACAAGACCAAAATAAAACCTCTGTTCTGAGAATTAAACATTTCATGTCCTTCAGGGTGCAAGAAGAAAACACAAAACCCAAACAAGTACAAATAAACAAAACAAAACCAACCAACAAACAAGAACACCTGTGATTATTGCTAAACCATTGCAGCAAGGAGTTACTATCCTAATATCTAACAAACTGTGATAAGCATTTTAACATTGTGCACAGTAGGAGGAATGTTAGTAGTATTACTGGGGAAAAAAAAAAGAAAAACGTGGAAAACACTCATGCTTCCCCTTCTCCTTCCGAGGGTGCATTTTCTGTATTCTTACACCAGATCATTTTGAGTATATTCTCCTACTGTACTGAGCTGCAGCACTTTATGGCTCCACAAATGCTGGCTGTTTCAACTTCCTGCTAGGGAAAAAGCACACACAGCCTCTTCTAAAGCGTCAGCTTTCATCTTTGTAGTACATCCATTGCTTGGCTGAAAGTTGAAGGAGAGGTCAAATAAAAGGTCCTTTTATTCATCCCAAGCAGAAAGGTTTGTTATAGTTCTTACTTAATTGCAGAGTGAACCTATCTCCCACACAGGTGAATGCCCACCTTTCTAATATTCCATTTCCTGAGAAGAATGATGCATTTCACCATCACTACATATAAAAGTCCCCTCTTAATGAATATTCACACTCCAGCATAGTTAAAGAGGAAATTTGCAAGATTAAAAATTTATTATTTCCAAGTTTATACTCAAATTCTATAGTGAACAGTTCTGGGATATAATAAAAAGTAATTTAGTTTTAGCAATTCACTTCCATCTCACATCAAATTCACAGTCCATAGAAACTCACATTCAAACACAGAGAAAGTAAATTCCACAAGTCTGAAGCACACACATTCACATTTAACCTTCTCTTCCAGAAAGATGTTAAGAATGTAGAAATAATGTCTTAATAAACTAAATAATTTCATTCACTGCAATGGGCTAGACTCCTAGAGTTAGTCATCTAACAGGTGCATTTTCTTCCAGGAATTCTCTTACTGTGTGTACCCTAAACTAATATTTGCAATAATCAAAATATACCTTTCACAAGAGGTTTGAAAAAAGCTGATTTTATCTCTGAACAAGTTTCTCACAACTGCATAAATGACCATCCAGTTA